ATTTTGCTATATCGTAAACTAAGTCGAAACTACTTAGTAGAAGTCTGAAATGCGACTATGAATAGAAGTAAATTTTAAGTTGGTACTTAAATTTAAGTTGCAACTTTGTTAGTTTCGACTTAGTTGCTGGACTATGAATACGCGCCCATGAGTGCACCCCATCCCTGTTAATAGAATTCGAGGAACAATGAATTCACATAACAATGAGTGTCGACCATTCATTGCTCCCACTGCTTAACGATCGGCACAACTGGTTGGTGGTGTGAGTGTGAGTTTCGTTTGTTTATGGGATGAATTAACAAGCTTACCTGTTAGTGAAAGACAAGACTAGTTTCAACACAACAGCGGCGCTAGACTCGAGTTATGAGATGAATTCATGAATTCTGTGGTGCATTCATAACATGAGTTGTTTCTTGCTACCCTTTAATATGAAGACACTTTCGAATAATTTAAATCAAATCTATGCATGTCAACACAAGCAACACATGCGACATAGTCAGCATTATTAATTACATTTTATATACGGGAAGAGATTTTGTAAATTTTGTAAGCACCTATTATAGTAAAATGCATTATAGAATTGTCTAATTAAAAACCTGTATGTATTTTCATCCAAGGCATGATCAAACAGTATTAAAAATATGCTACAGAAGCACAACTGCGAACAACAGCTTAGCTAAGGTGCAACGAAGTCTTGCACGATGCACGGATTGCACGAAATGCAAAAATACTATTCCAAATTTCGAAGAGTACGAGAGCACCCCATTGCAAAGTGGTAGCATGCATGGGTAGCAAGCAGCGAAATTATGTATCAAATACAGTGTCGCCAGAGAAAAATTTCGTTTGGAGCTAAAACGGTCAAAAAAAGAGTTAAATAATACTAATACTAACTAAAATGAAGAGCTATATATTTTTTTAGGGCTGAGCATTTATTGGCGTAAGGTTGTTTTTACATTTTCGGTAATTCGAATAAAAACAACGAATTTTATAAGTTTACTAGCTTTTACCTGCGGGTTTTACCCCACGTCTTTATACAAATATGAAAAATACTTTATGTAAAGATGTTATACTCTCTGCTCTAATTTTACTATAGCCGTGATAGCAGCATAAGGTAGGACAGCTGTATAGCTTGGGTGTTATGGAATGAAATGCAATAATAATTTTTTGGCACTGCAGGTGTTTTATTTAGGTTAAAATATCTCCAATAAATTATATAATAGAAGAAATTCTATCTAATTTCTTACGAATAATAACTCTAATATGATTTCACAGAATTTTTTTAATACTTCAAAGTATCTATTAACATGAATTCATTTTCCAATACAATTATCATACATTTTATTTTCGATAAAGTTTAGGGTTTTACTTTAACAGGTCTATTCTGCACGTTACCGAAGATTTTGTAACCGGAAAATTTTATTACCAAAAAATGTTACCAGTTCTTGTCACCGCGATTCTAGAAACGTTGATAATGCAGTTAAAATATTCAGCAATTCAGCTATGAAAAATTGTGCAAATTCTGGCACTGCATATTTCACGGTGCAATACTTTGTTACCAGCTTATGAGATGGTAACAAAATTTACCGGTTACAAGAGTACACAGAATGCGAAAAGGGGTTAAAAATTTACAGGAACTTTATTTACCGGTTACAAACTTTTTATTACCGGCGCAGAATAGACCTGTAAGGCATTCTTGGTTATTGTCATTGCAAAAGCTAAGCGAACTGGAAACTGAGGTCTTTTAAATTCGAGAGGTATATCAAAAGGAATTAAAGGAGTCATGTGACTAGTGGTTCCGAAGTTATGGTTGACAAAAAATTCGCCCCCATTTACAAACTCATTTATATAAACCTTACTATAAGCACCTACCATTGATATGTTTGCATACCAAATTTCAATTTTATGTGACTTATGGTCCCGAAGTTATGGCTGATTAAAAATTCTACGACTATGAGATATGCCACGCCCCTCCTACAAAGTCATTTATATATATGTACCTTACTATAAGCATCTACCATAGGTTTGTCTGCATACTAAATTTTAAGTTCATGTGACTTATGGTTCCGAAGTTATAGCTGATTAAAAATTTGCAGACCTATGGGAGGTGCCACCGTCCCCTCCCGAAAGTGACACCATATTTGCAAACAAAACCATTCCTATAACCTTCCCGGGTTGAAAACAAATAAGTGTGCAAAGTTTTGTGCGATTCCGTGTAGTGGTTCAAAAGTTATGAGGTAATAAACAAACAGACATTCACATTTATATATATAGAAGTGTTGAATAAATCTTTTAAAACCAAAATAAGGTGCATATATTTCGAATTCGTTGCTATTGTGGTGAACTAAAAATACTTTACAAACTGTTAAAGTCTGTAATTTCAGATATTTGAATTGAATAACTTGTTCGCAAAACTTTTCTGGAAAGTTTTACTTCCAGCTCTCCTGAAAGGTAAAATTAGTAGAGTAAAACAAAATCCGCGCTATCAGAAAAAGGATTTTCCTCTAATTTATTTTTGAATTCTTTAACCTAGATCCAAGAGTTTATGGTGGATACACTGCATCTCGAAATTTTCCATTTTATCATCGCTTAAGTTTTGGCTTATATATACCAAATACAACTAAAACTTTCTGGAGCTAAAAAAGTGCTATATAAATTTGAAAAGAGCTAAAAAAGTGCTAGGAGCTAAAACCCGATTTTCGGAGCTAAATAGAAAAATAAAGAGCCAAATCTAGCTCCAAAATGGCAACAATGATCAAATACAATAACAAGAGACAGCAAAAAAAATGGAGTGAGCGAGATGAGAGGAATGAGAGAAATATGTAGCAATTCCAACAACAAAACAACTACCACAGGGTCGCATTTATCTTGCTATGCTATTTTGCTAAGTCCCCTTTCAGACACGTCAAGTCTTGAAAGCAATTTTTTCGCATTCTCTTTTCTGTTTTCTATTTGCTTCCACACGCGTCAACTTTAATTGAATTCAAGTCCTTGGTTCTTTAAATGGGAAGCAACGAAAAGATCAAAAGAGACAAGAAAACTTGAAACGAATTGACGGTACGGAGGTATCTGTACTCTTCCCCTCTCTTATCACCTCCTTCGCCTACGAACGAGCAGACTTGAAAGCAAGACTTGACGTGTCTGAAAGGGGACTAAATATATACATGGGTTTCGACGTTGCATATTTTGCAGCGATAGGAAATGTTGTTTCCCATGTATTGTTTCTCATGGTAACCCTACCGAGTGGACGTGAAAATTCGCATAGTGTCACAAAGTGATATTCAATCACAAAAAAA